GTACCGATGAAGAATCTCGCAGAGCAATTGAGTCTTGGTTATACTAATCATCTACCTTTTTTTTCTTAAAATACTACTAAATTAATACACAACAAAAGTATCTATAAGATTATTGATTTTTAAAGCATTGAAAAGAAAAAAACGGTTTAAAGGCACAAATCTATTTATATATTTCATTTCAGTTCTATGTCCATATACATATTTATTTGTGTAGACTTGAGAGCTAGAGTATATCTTGTTTGGATTCAATTTTTGAAAATGGTTTGACGACATCTTCAACTTAATTGAAATGATCATTTTGGTTAAATGCTAGATTTCTCAAAAAACTAGCGTTAAATAAATATGCAAGCAATGAAATCAATAATAATTAAGGAGGAGATAAAAAATATGAAATCACTAGTAAAACTTACATTTACTTGGATGGATTCTAAACACAACTATTTGTCCGTTAAAAAAACTGTAACAAAAAATATTAGTAGTTGTTAATTCTTCCCAAATAGAATAAAATTCAATTTCTCCATTTAACTTTACTAAAATTAAATTTATAAATTAGTGTTTAAAAGTGTAAAATAATTAAAAGTATAAATTAGTGTTGATTCAAGTCTTCATTTCACTTTTAAACACTAATTTATAAATCTAATTTGTTGTTGTCATTGGTTCCATTCATGACAACAACAACTACGACTTATGATGCCTAGAAACACGACTACCAATTAATGCTTCAGACACTTTACTTGAGAGGAAGAATGAGAGAGAATGAAAAATAATTGATGAATTGTTATTATTAAAAGTTATGTGACTGAATTACAATTATGTGTTTATATGTAACTATATTACTTGTATACTAAATAACTGCGATAACATACTTTAACCTTAACTAACTTAAATTTGAGTTACAAACTTGAATTATATCATATTGATACCCATGTATCAAGAACTAGAACTCTGAGAAGAAGAATTAATATAATTCTCACAGTTCTAGACTAGGGGAACAAATCACAGTCAAGCGGATAATATTCAACAATTGATAAATGTCTTTTTTTGTTAAGATATATTCCGAGTCTTTTTTGCCAAGGTATATTCCAAGTATGCAAAGAGTCTACGGCTACAACGTCCTCTCTTGCAACATGAAATGCAAGACCATGTAATTTAACCACACATGAGATGCCAATATTATTGACATATTGAATAAATGATCTTGAATTCAACTCATCAATATACTCTTGTAATGCTCTCTAGCTTTTCACTTCCATCTAGGGATTGAACAAATCCAAAGACTACGCAAAATACTGCAAATAAAATCACTTTTTTTTAAGATATGAACTTTACGAAAAAGTGAAAATTAAACAAAAAAAAACTTGACATGCCAAAAAGTTATTTATCATAAGATATAGAATTGCAATGGATTAACTAAGAATTATTTAATTAGAGTTTGATTACATATTGATTGGAAATTAACAATGAGTAACTTAGCCACCTGCAGATTAACAACAATTCCAAAAACATGAAATATCTATATGGATCTTTCACGACATTGTTCTGGACTCCATCTAGAGATCGTGTGCTCTTCAATGACATAGTTTTTCGAACATAATGGAGACTCATCACTGTGACCATTTTTATTAACATGCAAAACTAATAAAGTTTTTGCAACACTTCCAAGAAGTCGTGTAGTGCAATGAACGTCAGACCATACTCTCAGTCTTCCATTTAGATTATCATCATTGTCATGTGATAGAACAAGTACACCGTACTCAGAATGCACCAGAGCTGGATGGTGGCGATAAACAATGAAGTCTACGCCATACTGAGCCCCTGACCTTACTACCCAGTTTTTCATTTGAAGGTGAGAATAAGCCTTGTAGAAGAAAGGGAATGCTTTTTTCTTGGATTTGCAGTAATGCCACAGCTCATCATCATCTGAATCACCAGACTCAGCACCGACGTTAATCTTAAGGCATTTCAAGGAATAACATAGGTAAAATGCTTCCTCCACGGTTAATTGAAACCAGTACGTGTCCTTTTCAACGTTTCTCACAGGCCGACCAAAGCATGCTTTATCAAGTAGGTCAAGCTGTTCAGCTTGCACTGCTAAGTGTACACAATTATCAGAGAGAAATCCAGATGCATTTGATTGAACTAAAGAAGACTGAAGTTGTGATATAATCTTTGACATGGGTTCTTTAAGTGCCTCGGCTTCTGCATCCTTTTTCGATTTTGCATCTTTTCCTTTCCATCTTGGTGCCATTTCTCCTGAAGAAAAATAAATCAAATGTTGTTCAATTCGAAGTCCAAGTTGATTTAGTAAAGCTCAATCAAAGAGGTAAAGACAAAAGACAGGAAAAAGAACTTGGACTCAGATTGCCTAACTTTAAGACACCAACTGCACTCTGCCTTTCAGTCATTCTAAGTCATTTGATCAATCTTATGGTTCACAAGATGCCCCATATCCTATTAAATTTTCCAAACAAAATGAAAACATGAAACCACAACACAACAACTAGCATCTTCATCTCTCAGCCCTAGCTACATAGTCATCTTCCAAGCCAACCGTCTCAAACTATACTACCATAGGCCCATTTATTGTTTCACAAACTTCTTTCTTTTATAAACTCTTATTACCCTTTCATTAGGTGTATTAATGCTTTCATATTTGCACAACTGACATTTATGTACTATCTTTTATCCTATTGTGTCATTACGGAATCATGTTTCAATGCTTCACAATATGCTAGACGATCAATAAATAATGGTTCAGAAAGTTGACAGCATAATAAAGAGGTAGGACATATATATTCTGATCTATCAAACTAGTCAATCATGATAAAAACCTTAACTAGTCAATTTATGGAGAATCCCGTCTATACTATCTATTATCTAACACGTATGGACCATCAGATATATAAAATAATACATCCTTTTAATTATTTCACAGTTAACAACTGTGAGTCTGTGACAAGTAGAAATATTCATCAGCATTGCAGGGATGAACACACATCAAAGGTAAACCAACCATATTGGTGTTTCAATTCCAAATTCCAATGCAAATGACTGGATATAGATTGTTAGACTTAGGGTAGAATATTCTATTTAGTTTTACACACTGATGCCTAATATAATATTTAACTTATAATTTAACCACCCTAAAGTTTTTATTTTTCCTTGAGTCAGGTTGCCTTGCTAGATCATGTACCGATGAAGAATCTCGCAGAGCAATTCAGTCTTGGTTATACTAATCAGCTACCTTTTTTTTTCTTAAAATACTACTAAATTAATGCACAACAAAAGTATCTATAAGATTAGTGATTTTTAAAGCATTGAAAAGAAAAAAAACGTTTTAAAGGCACAAATCTATTTATATATTTCATTTCAGTTCTATGTCCATATACATATTTATTTGTGTAGACTTGAGAGCTAGAGTATATCTTGTTTGGATTCAATTTTTGAAAATGGTTTGACGACATCTTCAACTTAATTGAAATGATCATTTTGGTTAAATGCTAGATTTCTCAAAAAACTAGCGTTAAATAAATATGCAAGCAATGAAATCAATAATAATTAAGGAGGAGATAAAAAATATGAAATCACTAGTAAAACTTACATTTACTTGGATGGATTCTAAACACAACTATTTGTCCGTTAAAAAAACTGTAACAAAAAATATTAGTAGTTGTTAATTCTTCACAAATAGAATAAAATTCAATTTCTCCATTTAACTTTACTAAAATTAAATTTATAAATTAGTGTTTAAAAGTGTAAAATAATTAAAAGTATAAATTAGTGTTGATTCAAGTCTTCATTTCACTTTTAAACACTAATTTATAAATCTAATTTGTTGATGTCATTGGTTCCATTCATGACAACAACAACTACGACTTATGATGCCTAGAAACACGACTACCAGTTAATGCTTCAGACACTTTACTTGAGAGAAAGAATTAGAGAGAATGAAAAATAATTGATGAATTGTTATTATTAAAAGGTATGTGACTGAATTACAATTATGTGTTTATATGTAACTATATTACTTGTATACTAAATAACTGCGATAACATACTTTAACCTTAACTAACTTAAATTTGAGTTACAAACTTGAATTATATCATATTGATACCCATGTATCAAGAACTAGAACTCTGAGAAGAAGAATTAATATAATTCTCACAGTTCTAGACTTGGGGAACAAATCATAGTCAAGCGGATAATATTCAATAATTGATAAATGTCTTTTTTTGTTAAGATATATTCCGAGTCTTTTTTGCCAAGGTATATTCCAAGTATGCAAAGAGTCTACGGCTACAACGACCTCTCTTGCAACATGAAATGCAAGACCATGTAATTTAACCACACATGAGATGCCAATATTATTGACATATTGAATAAATGATCTTGAATTCAACTCATCAATATACTCTTGTAATGCTCTCTAGCTTTTCACTTCCATCTAGGGATTGAACAAATCCAAAGACTACGCAAAATACTGCAAATAAAATCACTTTTTTTTTGAAGATATGAACTTTACAAAAAAGTGAAAATTAAACAAAAAAAAACTTGACATGCCAAAAAGTTATTTATCATAAGATATAGAATTGCAATGGATTAACTAAGAATTATTTAATTAGAGTTTGATTACATATTGATTGGAAATTAACAATGAGTAACTTAGCCACCTGCAGATTAACAGCAATTCCAAGAACATGAAATATCTATATGGATCTTTCACGACATTGTTATGGACTCCATCTAGAGATCGTGTGCTCTTCAATGACATAGTTTTCCAAACATAATGGAGACTCATCACTGTGACCATTTTTATTAACATGCAAAACTAATAAAGTTTTTGCAACACTTCCAAGAAGTCGTGTAGTGCAATGAACGTCAGACCATAATCTCAGTCTTCCATTTAGATTATCATCATTGTCATGTGATAGAACAAGTACACCGTACTCAAAATGCACCAGAGCTGGATGGTGGCGATAAACAATGAAGTCTACACCATACTAAGCCCCTGACCTTACTACCCAGTTTTTCATTCGAAGGTGAGAATATGCCTTGTAGAAGAAAGGGAATGCTTTATTCTTGGATTTGCAGTAATGCCACAGCTCATCATCATTTGAATCACCAGACTCAGCACCGACATTAATCTTAAGGCATTTCAAGGAATAACATAGGTAAAATGCTTCCTCCAAGGTTAATTGAAACCAGTACGTGTCCTTTTCAACGTTTCTCACAGGCCGACCAAAGCATGCTTTATCAAGTAGGTCAAGCTGTTCAGCTTGCACTGCTAAGTGTACACAATTATCAGAGAGAAATCCAGATGCATTTGATTGAACTAAAGAAGACTGAAGTTGCGATATAATCTTTGACATGGGTTCTTTAAGTGCCTCGGCTTCTGCATCCTTTTTCGATTTTGCATCTTTTCCTTTCCATCTTGGTGCCATTTCTCCTGAAGAAAAATAAATCAAATGTTATTCAATTCGAAGTCCAAGTTGATTTAGTAAAGCTCAATTAAAGAGGTAAAGACAAAAGACAGGAAAAAGAACTTGGACTCAGATTGCCTAACTTTAAGACACCAACTGCACTCGGCCTTTCAGTCATTCTAAGTCATTTGATCAATCTTATGGTTCACAAGATGCCCCATATCCTATAAAATTTTCCAAACAAAATGAAAACATGAAACCACAACATAACAACTAGCATCTTCATCTCTCATCCCTAGCTACACAGTCATCTTCCAAGCCAACCGTCTCAAACTATACTACCATAGGCCCATTTATTGTTTCACAAACTTCTTTCTTTTATAAACTCTTATTACCCTTTCATTAGGTGTATTAACGCTTTCATATTTTCACAACTGACATTTATGTACTATCTTTTATCCTATTGTGTCATTACGGAAACATGTTTCAATGCTTAACAATATGCTAGACGATCAATAAATAATGGTTCAGAAAGTTGACAGCATAATAAAGAGGTAAGACATATATATTCTGATCTATCAAACTAGTCAATCATGATAAAAACCTTAACTAGTCAATTTATGGAGAATCACGTCTATACTATCTATTATCTAACACGTATGGACCATCAAATATATAAAATAATACATCCTTTTAATTATTTCACAGTTAACAACTGTGAGTCTGTGACAAGTAGAAATATTCATCAGCATTGCAGGGATGAACACACATCAAAGGTAACCAACCATATTGGTGTTTCAATTCCAAATTCCAATGCAAATGACTAGATATAGATTGTTAGACTTAGGGTAGAATATTCTATTTAGTTTTACACACTGATGCCTAATATAATATTTAACTTATAATTTAACCACCCTAAAGATTTTATTTTTCCTTGAGTCAGGTTGCCTTGCTAGATCATGTACCGATGAAGAATCTCGCAGAGCAATTGAGTCTTGGTTATACTAATCAGCTACCTTTTTTTTCTTAAAATACTACTAAATTAATACACAACAAAAGTATCTATAAGATTAGTGATTTTTAAAGCATTGAAAAGAAAAAAACGGTTTAAAGGCACAAATCTATTTATATATTTCATTTCAGTTCTATGTCCATATACATATTTATTTGTGTAGACTTGAGAGCTAGAGTATATCTTGTTTGGATTCAATTTTTGAAAATGGTTTGACGACATCTTCAACTTAATTGAAATGATCATTTTGGTTAAATGCTAGATTTCTCAAAAAACTAGCGTTAAATAAATATGCAAGCAATGAAATCAATAATAATTAAGGAGGAGATAAAAAATATGAAATCACTAGTAAAACTTACATTTACTTGGATGGATTCTAAACGCAACTGTTTGTCCGTTAAAAAAACTGTAACAAAAAATATTAGTAGTGGTTAATTCTTCACAAATAGAATAAAATTCAATTTCTCCATTTAACTTTACTAAAATTAAATTTATAAATTAGTGTTTAAAAGTGTAAAATAATTAAAAGTATAAATTAGTGTTGATTCAAGTCTTCATTTCACTTTTAAACACTAATTTATAAATCTAATTTGTTGTTGTCATTGGTTCCATTCATGACAACAACAACTACGACTTATGATGCCTAGAAACACGACTACCAGTTAATGCTTCAGACACTTTACTTGAGAGAAAGAATGAGAGAGAATGAAAAATAATTGATGAATTGTTATTATTAAAAGTTATGTGACTGAATTACCATTATGTGTTTATATGTAACTATATTACTTGTATACTAAATAACTGCGATAACATACTTTAACCTTAACTAACTTAAATTTGAGTTACAAACTTGAATTATATCATATTGATACCCATGTATCAAGAACTAGAACTCTGAGAAGAAGAATTAATATAATTCTCACAGTTCTAGACTTGGGGAACAAATCATAGTCAAGCGGATAATATTCAATAATTGATAAATGTCTTTTTTTGTTAAGATATATTCCGAGTCTTTTTTGCCAAGGTATATTCCAAGTATGCAAAGAGTCTACGGCTACAACGACTTCTCTTGCAACATGAAATGCAAGACCATGTAATTTAACCACACATGAGATGCCAATATTATTGACATATTGAATAAATGATCTTGAATTCAACTCATCAATATACTCTTGTAATGCTCTCTAGCTTTTCACTTCCATCTAGGGATTGAACAAATCCAAAGACTACGCAAAATACTGCAAATAAAATCACTTTTTTTTTGAAGATATGAACTTTACGAAAAAGTGAAAATTAAACAAAAAAAAAACTTGACATGCCAAAAAGTTATTTATCATAAGATATAGAATTGCAATGGATTAACTAAGAATTATTTAATTAGAGTTTGATTACATATTGATTGGAAATTAACAATGAGTAACTTAGCCACCTGCAGATTAACAGCAATTCCAAGAACATGAAATATCTATATGGATCTTTCACGACATTGTTATGGACTCCATCTAGAGATCGTGTGCTCTTCAATGACATAGTTTTCCAAACATAATGGAGTCTCATCACTGTGACCATTTTTATTAACATGCAAAACTAATAAAGTTTTTGCAACACTTCCAAGAAGTCGTGTAGTGCAATGAACGTTAGACCATAATCTCAGTCTTCCATTTAGATTATCATCATTGTCATGTGATAGAACAAGTACACCGTACTCAAAATGCACCAGAGCTGGATGGTGGCGATAAACAATGAAGTCTACACCATACTAAGCCCCTGACCTTACTACCCAGTTTTTCATTCGAAGGTGAGAATATGCCTTGTAGAAGAAAGGGAATGCTTTATTCTTGGATTTGCAGTAATGCCACAGCTCATCATCATTTGAATCACCAGACTCAGCACCGACATTAATCTTAAGGCATTTCAAGGAATAACATAGGTAAAATGCTTCCTCCAAGGTTAATTGAAACCAGTACGTGTCCTTTTCAACGTTTCTCACAGGCCGACCAAAGCATGCTTTATCAAGTAGGTCAAGCTATTCAGCTTGCACTGCTAAGTGTACACAATTATCAGAGAGAAATCCAGATGCATTTGATTGAACTAAAGAAGACTGAAGTTGCGATATAATCTTTGACATGGGTTCTTTAAGTGCCTCGGCTTCTGCATCCTTTTTCGATTTTGCATCTTTTCCTTTCCATCTTGGTGCCATTTCTCCTGAAGAAAAATAAATCAAATGTTATTCAATTCGAAGTCCAAGTTGATTTAGTAAAGCTCAATCAAAGAGGTAAAGACAAAAGACAGGAAAAAGAACTTGGACTCAGATTGCCTAACTTTAAGACACCAACTGCACTCGGCCTTTCAGTCATTCTAAGTCATTTGATCAATCTTATGGTTCACAAGATGCCCCATATCCTATAAAATTTTCCAAACAAAATGAAAACATGAAACCACAACATAACAACTAGCATCTTCATCTCTCATCCCTAGCTACACAGTCATCTTCCAAGCCAACCGTCTCAAACTATACTACCATAGGCCCATTTATTGTTTCACAAACTTCTTTCTTTTATAAACTCTTATTACCCTTTCATTAGGTGTATTAACGCTTTCATATTTTCACAACTGACATTTATGTACTATCTTTTATCCTATTGTGTCATTACGGAAACATGTTTCAATGCTTAACAATATGCTAGACGATCAATAAATAATGGTTCAGAAAGTTGACAGCATAATAAAGAGGTAAGACATATATATTCTGATCTATCAAACTAGTCAATCATGATAAAAACCTTAACTAGTCAATTTATGGAGAATCACGTCTATACTATCTATTATCTAACACGTATGGACCATCAAATATATAAAATAATACATCCTTTTAATTATTTCACAGTTAACAACTGTGAGTCTGTGACAAGTAGAAATATTCATCAGCATTGCAGGGATGAACACACATCAAAGGTAACCAACCATATTGGTGTTTCAATTCCAAATTCCAATGCAAATGACTAGATATAGATTGTTAGACTTAGGGTAGAATATTCTATTTAGTTTTACACACTGATGCCTAATATAATATTTAACTTATAATTTAACCACCCTAAAGATTTTATTTTTCCTTGAGTCAGGTTGCCTTGCTAGATCATGTACCGATGAAGAATCTCGCAGAGCAATTGAGTCTTGGTTATACTAATCAGCTACCTTTTTTTTCTTAAAATACTACTAAATTAATACACAACAAAAGTATCTATAAGATTAGTGATTTTTAAAGCATTGAAAAGAAAAAAACGGTTTAAAGGCACAAATCTATTTATATATTTCATTTCAGTTCTATGTCCATATACATATTTATTTGTGTAGACTTGAGAGCTAGAGTATATCTTGTTTGGATTCAATTTTTGAAAATGGTTTGACGACATCTTCAACTTAATTGAAATGATCATTTTGGTTAAATGCTAGATTTCTCAAAAAACTAGCGTTAAATAAATATGCAAGCAATGAAATCAATAATAATTAAGGAGGAGATAAAAAATATGAAATCACTAGTAAAACTTACATTTACTTGGATGGATTCTAAACGCAACTATTTGTCCGTTAAAAAAACTGTAACAAAAAATATTAGTAGTGGTTAATTCTTCACAAATAGAATAAAATTCAATTTCTCCATTTAACTTTACTAAAATTAAATTTATAAATTAGTGTTTAAAAGTGTAAAATAATTAAAAGTATAAATTAGTGTTGATTCAAGTCTTCATTTCACTTTTAAACACTAATTTATAAATCTAATTTGTTGTTGTCATTGGTTCCATTCATGACAACAACAACTACGACTTATGATGCCTAGAAACACGACTACCAGTTAATGCTTCAGACACTTTACTTGAGAGAAAGAATGAGAGAGAATGAAAAATAATTGATGAATTGTTATTATTAAAAGTTATGTGACTGAATTACAATTATGTGTTTATATGTAACTATATTACTTGTATACTAAATAACTGCGATAACATACTTT